TTTACAAATTAAATTAGAAAATATCTTTTCAGATCATGCTTAACTCAAAACTAAACACAAGCATTCATAAAAATAAAAAAAAAACAGTGAAGTAACATACCTCCCAGTAATGTGTGACAAATGTAATCCCCAAAAGAAATTTCTTTCCACACTCCGAACCTTCTGACACTTTCTGAAACTTCAAAATTCTTTGCATTTCCCCTAGTTAATTGAAGCATTTCGATATTTTGTCTTTGGAGGTCTTAGTTTTTAGAATAAGATTGGTGTTGTCTAGTGTCTTCCCAGTTGTCTAGTGTATCGGAATCACATAGCATAAGTCTATTTCAAAAGAGAATCCTGGATGCAAATTGAAATGGATACTAGATAAAGAATGATGTAATCCTGGAACCCTAAAAATACATAGGGAAATTCTGAACTCCGTTTAATGAATAAATACTCCTCTATTAAGTGACAATCCATCTGGGGCACGGATATATGATTCATTTACTTTTGTGGCATCTTATGATAATAAAGGTGAATTTTTCCTGAAAGAAATGGAGACTAACCTCTACAAAGCATGAGATTTCAAAATGTCTTCCCCAAATCTTGACACTTCATATTATAATAAAACCTTTGCATGGTGCCACATACAGATTAATTTAGTGAGGGTTTTTTCTGAATAGCAGTAAGTGGTTATGCAATTCCAATTGCAAATGACAGTACAAAAATGATATATATAGCATGCCGTGTTTACTGCTTTAAATCAAATTTGTTGTTCACTCAATTCCCTGAGAAAATTTAGTCTTGTTAGAATTCGTTGTTCGATTAAAAATTAAACCAAATAATCCCATATAAGCAATTCTTTTGGTCAGTAGAAAAGAGGTTTCTCAAAATGCTCTTAGAAAGCCACTACTCTATTTCTCCAATAATTACTGGTAATAGATCTAAATTACAAAAAATCAAAACTGAAAATCCTTCAGAAACTGGTGAAACCAACATCACTTGCTACTTTAAATGACATTGTTTTTTCAAACTAACCCCCGCAAAAGCAAAGCATAAATAAAATATACCCTTCTAAAAATACTACTCACATGAATTTGCTAGGAGGGTTGTTTATGCTTTTCTATTTTATTTTATTTAATTTATTTATTTTTAGTATTGGGAACAAATTCATGTATTTTTACCTGAAATTCCACCATAGATCTCTTCTGCTATTCTAGCCGCTTCTTTTCTATTTCCTTTGACGATATAGAAATGGGTTAGGAGAGCCAAAAACACTTTAATTAAGAGCTTGAAGAAAAAAAAGGTAGCAAACATTGTAATAAAAATATTTTTAAAGCCATAGAAAACAGGATCATCTTTCATTTTGGCTTGCACTCTGTATAGGTTCCTGGGACTGTAAAATTTCACTGAGTTATAATTGGTATCATATGACATCTATTTTAAACCTTCTAGTACTCTGTGCTCCTGTTACCGAGAACTCAGTTTGTAGGTTCTAATCTAACTGATTTGGCGACTGCTTGGACTGACATCCATTGAGATGGTAAATAAACTCAGGGAACCTTCTTAGAGTCCTAGCACCACCACGTTACTCAGCACTAACAAGCAGGATTCATGTTAAACCTTTATCAACCCTATTTTTGCAACATAATGGAGGAAGGCAAGGTTCAAAAGATAAAAGAAACTTGTCTGACACCATGGGGACAAAGTGAGTTATTTGATGTACACACAAAGCAGTACAAGTATACCCTGCATTTCTTGTGGGAAATACTATTCCCTGGAACATTAATTTTCTCTTCATGCTGAGGCTTATGGAGGATTAAGTCCAAATCTAAAATATGATCAGTTTAAAAAGGCTATTTCTCTTCTCAGATTCCACACAAGCAGTAACACCCAGCATCTGTCTTCCTGAGCCTAGTTCCTTTCACTTAACCTAATGTCCTCCAGACTTATCCATGTTACAAATAGCAGGATTTCATTGTTTGTGTGTGTGTGTGTGTCTAAATAATATTCCACTGTGAATATCGACCACATTTTCTTTATCCATTTATTTGTTGAAGGCTACTTTGGTTGCTTCCATATCATGGCTATTGTAGCTAATGCGGTGATAGACATGGGAGGGCAGAGAGCTCTTTGATGTACAGAGGAGAAAGGTGGCTGCAGTGGTGGGGGGAGAGGAGAATGTGGAGATGTTTGTCAAAGGATATATAATTACAATGTGATAGGAGGAATCAATTTCTTTTTTCTTTCTTTTTTTTTTTTTTTTTGAGAGTTTTTTGCTATAAGGCACGTGCGCTCACCAGAAAGACAGAGACAGAGACAGAAAGCAAGAAATCACCCCCCAGAGAGGGATGGCCACGCTGCAATCCCTTCTCCTCCATTCTCCTCTCGGGATCTTGGGCATGCATGCACACACACCCGGTGTGAGTTTAAGCAACCAGGTCCAGGACTCGAACTGCGGTCAACTACATGGGAGTCCAGCGACATAGCCATTACGCCAACTTTTGGTCCTGGAGGAATCAATTTCAAGAGATCTACTTTACAGCAAGGTGACCACAATTAATAACATCTTGTAATGTTGAAAAATGTAAAGAGCATGGATGTTATGCACTCTCACCACAAAAATGTTAACTATGTGAGGTGTGCAACTGCTAATTAGCTAAAGTTAAGGATTCCAGTATATATATAAACACATGTTGTACAAGATAAAAACATACAATGCCATCTATCAATTTAAGAAAAAAATGAAAAAAATAAAGACCAATTACTCTTTCATAAAAGGCCTCTCCTAGTGACAGTGTCAGACCAGAAGATGACTCTCTGAGATCATTTCATACTTGCTGCAGTGTAACAAAGTGTCCCAGCAAGGTTCCTTCCTGATCATTTACTTTCATTTCAAGCTTCAGTAAAGGTCTCTTTCTGGAAAATGTGGGCAATCTTGGATCATGGAAGTCGTAATGAAATGGGTGAAGGAGATTTCATAGGTTCTAGGTGAAGTACCAAAAATTCCATAAATCAGTACCTTCTCTAGTTGGACAACTGTTCACTTATCAGTAGCCAACACAAGTGATAATGATTTAATTTTCCTCAGGTCTCTAAGCACCTAATTTAATTTCACTCTAGGTCTCTACCTTATTCTTGGCTATATTTAGTTTTCTAAATTTCTAAGACATATTGAAAAGATAAGCCAAAATTAAATGATAGGAGATGAAATTAATCTTATTTAATAAATGCTCTATGCAAAAATATAGGAGTTTCTCCTAGAACCCAAACAATTTAGGACTACCTCTGTTAAGAACTGTTTCACCATTACTCCATTACAAAGGCTAATGCATGAGTACAACCCAAGCCACAGTTTATCCATTTCAGTGAATCACAGCATTCTAAAACTCTCAAATTGTTTTTATTCTCGAGGAACAGGTATTAACATGGAAGGTCTACTTTACCAAGTTTTAAGTTATCTGTAGAATGTCAGCGTACAAAGAAAATACATGAATAAAAGTACTTTAGCTCTTTTCATGTTCTCTCTTCAGTTCTACCTTAAGTAGGCAATCTTTTACCCATATCAGAACAGAGATGTCTGAATTATAACATTATTCAATCTTATTTTGGCCTTAATTTTCATTTACAACCTGGCTATTCTGTTTTACAGACCAGAAAAGTTGGCCATAAGAAGCTCAACTCTTTTTATTATTTACATTTAATTACCATGTATCTTTACAGTGGAAGTTCAACTCTTTCAAGGTTCAGATGGATGAACATCTATACTAATTCTGAGAGATCATCTATCAGTACTATGTTTGAGATGGGCATAAAAGGTTATAAGGTTATATATATATCCTTATATATAATGATATATAAGGATAGTTGCTTCACAACATTTCACAGATATAAGCAAGAGTACTAGTGTTTCTCAATCTTGGCATTATTGACATTGTGGGCTAGATGATTCTGTTGCAAGTGGCTATCCAGAGCATTGAATGCTGAGCACCTACCCTGACTTCTGCTTATTTGATGCCAATGCCCTATCCCCACACAGAAAATGTCTCCAGATAATCCCATATAGCCCCTTGGTGGGGGGTGTCAAAATTGCCATCCCAAACCCCAGTTGAGAACCACTGAGCCACCACTAAATATATATGATAAAGAGTAAAGTACAGTCAACTCCCCAAAATACTGTGGAATACAAATCCAATCTGTACAGAATTCTAATTTTCATGATTTCATATAAAAAATCCAGCCATAGGATGATACAATCTAACATCTAGCTACATTCTTTTGAGAATGCAGAGATAGATATAGGCCTTTAAATACTTCACAAAAGTAAACACAGACATGGGGCCAGCAGATGGTGTGGTGGTTGAGGGCACTGGACTCCCACATGGCCGACTAAGGTTTAAGAATTGGACCTAGAGGCTTGCTTTCTCATTTTCCCTCTCTTTCTCGCTCTGTCCCTCTCTGATAAAATTTAAATAAAATAAAGTTAAATAAAATAAAATAATTCTTTTTTTAAAAAAAAGGTAAACACAGACCTATGATACCTTGACTTTGCTAAAATTTTGGGTGTAAGACACATCAAAGCACATGAATGTAGATGAGTGTTTTCCACTGCTGCCACCAAAGAGGGTAGGAGAAAACGGGCTATTGTAAATGAAGTCCCATACATTTCTCTTAAATGAGCTGGCAAGATATAAAGTATGATTATGTAGTTCATACACACAATAGTTTGTAAATGTATTCGTTTGTCTCATGTGATAACTCTAGTGTCAAAAACAAGGGTGTGTTTGGATCAGGAAATAAAGGCACAATTGAATCTGCTGTTCCCTGAGTCAAAGAGAGAATATATTCTAGAAATATAGACAACGGAGCAATTCATCATCTGATGGATATTTCCTTTTAGTAACAGACCAAGCAACACATTAAATTGCAGGAAAAGCAAGTGTGTGTGTGGAGCGGCAACCACATTCCATCAGTAAATAATCTGTTCATAAAACAAGACAAACTCAGAAAATTGTCAAAATGTCATTCTGGTCTTTATTTTTGGACATGTAGCATGTTTTAACAAGTCAGTTTTACATGTGCAATGCTTTGCAACATTAAAAGAAGTACAATATATTTTTCATAAATTCCATCACTGTAAGTTCACTTTCAAATAAATGTAAGTAGCAGGGTAGAACAATGTGTTTCCACATACTGCCCAGTGCAACACTGACAGTTACATTTAAGGTATCCAGGAAGCCTGAAAATTAAGATTTATATAAAACAAATAACTTATTTCTTTCTTTAAATGGGAAAAATAGAAAATAATTGTAACTTGCAAACTACTTGTTTTTCATGCAAAGACAACTTACTTTAAATTCTATTTCCATCTTAAATGACAATTTTGAAATAAATTAAGAAGCAAACATAAAAGTAGTAGTATATCTTTAAAAACTGCAGAGTAGAATCAATAAAACCAAATATTACAGTTGCTCACTTTATCATGAATATTGGCACTGTTTATTTCATACTTTTATCTCAGTTTCTAGCATAAAAATCCCAATAAGACTGAATGGTCTAGGTCGGTCCATTTTTCTCTAACAAAATAAACCCCAACTTCTTAGATTTTAAAGATTACACTCTTATATTTGTGACTTAGTACAAACAAAACACAGATATATTTCTTTAATATCAGTGGCAACCAGTTAATAGGCATGTTAAGATACTTTTTAAAATGTGAGAAGTTTTGTGAATGTTTTCATTTTTAAAAAAGTCCTGTACAGAATCACAATACTGATGAATCTATCTAGTGCACTCACAAGTGCCTCATTGTTTTGATTTCACAGTCCTTTTCTCACAAAAATGTATTCTATAGAGTTCAAAGAATTACTAATACACACCATGTGGAAATTTGGGGTTAAAAAACCCATGGCTCTAGGCAACAACAAGTACAGTTAATAACATCCACCCACAAAGACACCTGTTCCTATCATTTCCAGACTGTTTCTTATAAGTAAAACATCATGGAGTCAAGCCTTTTGCACACTGACAATACTTATCAGACATCAGCTAGGCCACAGTAAAGAGTAGTGACTTGTATCAAAAGGACAGGGTAGCAGCTGGTTTTGAGATGGCACACCTTGTACATTCTGTTCAGAAAACACGAAGGCATTCACAGAGGACTAAATTATGCACTGAAAAACGTGGAGGGTTTCTCTGCACTATCATCAACAGTGATATCGGTCCCTAGTATTTAAAAAGCAAAAAGTACCTTTATAAACACAACTAAGGACGAAGGCTCTACCTAGGAGAATGCACACAACAGGATGAAAGAAGCACTCAGAGTACGCCGGTGATCTCTTCCTGGCATTAACTAGCATGAGCATTTCTGGCATGTTGGGGATTTTATTGTTTCATGTCAACTGTGACTACAATGAAGAAGTCACTGGAGTGCTAAACAAAGAGCAAATGCACCCCTGGCCTTAACAGCAGGGAGTACCTAGTTCAACATTCTATACATAGCGGGTACTCAAAACATGCTGGCAACTAACACATCATCTTAGTCAAGGAATCTGATTACATGTAACACTTATTGACTGGACTTGATCAATGTTTAAGAACATGACTTCAATGTCTAATAAATGTATATGAACATGACTTAAAACTAGTTCATATAGTTGTTGTACTTTCCTAAAGAAAATTTGTAAACATCTGGTGAATGTCTAATTAATGCTATAACGTTAAAAACTGGCCAAAAAATGCCCAGAAAACGTTTGGCCCTTCAGCACCCAAAGCTCTCAAAATATAATGTTAAAACATCTCTGCTAGAAGGATTTCAGTAGTCTGAAAAATTTCATACCTGAGTGGCTTATATGTTCTCTCCTAAATTTTAAATAAGTGCAAGGAGTTTCTACACTCAGGAATTGCATAAGTTATCGTTCCTCAAAATAAAACATTGAATGATATAGAGGTAGCATAACTTACTAAATAAACTGTAAAAAACAAAAAACCCAAAAAAAGCAAGGTTATTTCCAATAGTCTTAATAGAGCTAATATAAATGTTTAAAATCTTACAATCCAGGCTTTCTCCTACCTGGTTTTAGACAGCTCATTATTCTCACTCTCCTTTTTACTGTGAGGATATTGATGAGTCCAGGCACCCTGTGGCCCAGTGGCATCTATTGCAATATCAATGACAGAATCTGGAGTTATCCATCGCAAGAAAATGAGGAAGAGAAAGTTGAACACAGCCAGCAAAGCAAAAATGTAGCCTGTTACTGGGCCGCAGTGAGAGATGAGTCTGTCCAGTCGTCTGTCCATCGGTAACACGGCTTCCCCTGCCACCCGATCATACACCTGGTGGGAAAGAAGACAGAGAATGAGTGCTCTGACCCACACTGCATGTCCCACGATTAACAACAACCTGCCCTGATCAAGGACCTTTTATGAATATATGCAAATAAGAGTTGTTGGTCTTTTCTTTTGTTGCTATTGTCATAGAAATGGCATCCTTGGGACCAGCAGTTAGCGTAATGGCTATGTCGCTGGACTCCCATGTAGTCGACTGCGGTTCGAGTCCCGGACCTGGTGGCTTAAAAAACTCACGCCAGGCACATGTGCATGCGTGCCCAAGATCCTGAGAGGAGAATGGAGGAGAAGGGACTGCGGCGTGGCCTTCCCCCCGGGAGGTGATTTCTCACTTTCTGTCTGGCGAGTGCACACGCCCTATAGCAAAAACCTCTTCAAAAGAAAGAGAAATAAAAAAGAAATAGCGCCCTTACTGAATTCACTCACAATATCATTACCATTTAATCCAACACTCATTGGGCACTTATTCTGGGCAAAACCCTGGGCTAGACACTGTATGATGGAGAGTAAGCCATGGCTTGTGTCCCTAGGAGATCACTACCTATTTTGGCCCATTACTGGAATTCCAAAGTCCTGCAAAGTCTGAATAGCACTTCAGGTCACTGCTGCAGGGGCAGTATTGGATTTAGCAGTGACTTCAGCAGGGCTGAAACAGGATTGGCCTTTAAGATGCCTGGACTTGGCTGAGACAACTCTCACAGGCACCTGGCAGACACTGACAACAATGAGATAGCTAGGATCTAGTGCTTCTAGGGACACAGAGGCTCTTCTTTCAACAGTCACTTGAGACAGTCCATTTTGCTAAGTGTGGATGGTGAGGACACACAGATACATTTCATACATTTTGGGGAAATTTTAGTACATGGGATAGATCAGACACTTGCAAATAAACTTAGTGTTCAGATTTGGGAGCAGGTGGCTTGCTTTTTAAGATACTGCTAACTGCTAAACTCAAAAAAAAAAAAAAACCACAAAGATCTTTACAGACACTAATTTAGAAGGCATCTGATGGGTCAACATTCTCATTTTATCATTGCATTTGGGCATTACTTATGCTCAGTCTGATACCTCAAACCTATAAAACTATTTCCTTTTGAACTCAATAGTTACAGCATGCTGTACCAGTTCTGTAGGTCAATGGCTTTGAAAGGTACAGGATGTTTTCATCTACTTCTTCTACCCTGAACGCATTTTGAGTACAAACTTCCTGATCAGAATTACGTCGAAAATTATGCTGAGACTGGTTAGTTGGCACAACTAAACTAAGAGGAAGGAGTTGAAAAGAATCCAAAGGTCCTAGAATTAAAAGAGCAACTACAAACAGACCTAGGTCGATTAGTTTATGATTACAAGTGATAAAATAAAAACTTACTACTATAAAGAATGTTAGGGATGACAATCTGTTATAGGCAGGACTTACTTTTTTTCCAAATGTGTACCACAAATCATCAAAGTGTATAAAACAGAAAAATATTTACTATTACTTTAGGCATACCTAAAAGAAGATAATGTGGTTACAAAACAAAAATTGAATAAAAAACCCAACATAAAAATATCCTGATTAGCTCCTTCAACAAAATCTGACAAACTGTTCCTATAGTTCTTTCTCTCCCTGAAATTAATACCTATGACAGCCCAGACTCCTGAGGTATATATGATATCAACTGAGGTCAAGTCACAATTTATAGAGTTATGGCTCTCAATGAGTGTGAAGGTCAGGGTAATATGACCAAAAAATACTATCAAACCAAATTTCCCTGTTGACCATACCCCAAATTCCATCTCTGCTTTCAAAGGGTCATATTAGAATCCGGGGAGGGACCGGATGCAGAAGACATAAAGATGGAGTCTATGGGGTCTGACAACGTTACATAAGTGCCTCTGATGCACACTGCCAACAAGTCGTGTTGGAGTCCAACTTCCAAGGGAAAAGGTAGCTATTTCATAGGGATGGAGAGATGACCAGACTTCCAGAAGGTTAGGATGTCTCAGAGATACTTTAGTAAAAAAATGTGGCATTATTTCAAACACCTTATATTTCAATGGAAATGTACTATATATGATAATGTTTAGAGATCAGCGTTTTTTGAACTTACATTCAAATATGAGTTCATCTTAATGTTCTGGAATTTAAATTCGAACCAAATGAGCAAGACTTTCAGTAAAAACACTATTTTGTCTTAAGCTCCATCTTGCTCTCTATTCCAGGCTGGACACTTACTCTGCTGACCACACTAAGGGGAGCAAGCACCACTCAAAGCTACTACCTTCTCCATGCTCCACTTGGCTGACTTTCTGCTTCACACTTTCTACAAGCTAAGAAGCTAAGCTGTTTCCGTTCATCCTGTTACATGGTTAATAAGAGGTATGCGAGAAGTCATGAGAGGTCATAAGGATACTAAGTAGAATAAATGAAGTGCCTAACTCAAAGTCAGCAAGCACTTTCCACAATTGCACTCTGACGCCCAAGGGTGTTATTCTATTTCCTGCATCTGTCCTTTCAGGAATTCTCTATTGCTGCTTTTTATTTGTGACCTTCCCCCCAACTTTTGTTGCATACATTTTTAATTCTATCTTATAATGTTCTCAATCAGCCCAAAGATGCAAAAATTCTTTTTCCTACAGAATAATCGCAGTAGTTAGCAAAAGTGCCCAAAGAAGTTCAGGAAGTAGCCTGAATTAAATATTCATAAGTTATAAAGTTGCCAGAATTGGCAAAACCAGGTATTTGCTAACAGACCTATCTGCTTTAGAATTATAAACAGCCTCAAGAAAATGTCCTAAGAGTAGATTTTAATATTAGTTTTAACTCTAATTGCTGTGACTCCTAGAAAATTTTGTAATTCCTTTTTTTTAGATTTTACTTCTCTACTTCCTCCACAAGAGACAGACTATCAGAGACAGGCAACACTAACAGGGTCCTCACACCATGATCCACCTCCAGCCCTAGTCTGCCCAGCTTACAGCACACGTATACATGCCCAATGCACACAGAGAGGTTTAGGACGTGAACCTAGGGCCTTCTCCTGTGGATCCAGTTGTACCGTCCCAGCACTACTTTCTGGATCCATATAATTTTATAACTTCCTTATGTCACTTTAATGAGGGGCTACATGATATTGTTGCTATTTTAGGGTATCAAATGCAATGACCTAAGTTGAAATTTAGCCCAGCATATGTACCCAAAGTAATACACAGTCTGTTTTCACTCTGAAGGGATTTCACAAACTTAAGCAACAGAAATGGTAAACCTATATGTAAGAAGAAAGCAAACATCTACAAAACACATTAAGGAAGAAGTCAGACACAATCTTTTCTCAGCATGTGACATACTTTTTCAGTTCTCTCCGCAACATTCCTCCAGGTATAGAAAGTCTTTACTATGTTATGGATATGTTCTGGAGTTGGCAATGCCCCCGACTTCAGTTGAAGAATAGCTTTTTCCAGTCCTTCACACAAAGATTTTACTGAAGGCTCACATAAAATAATGAGATTTTCTGGAAGCACCTCAGGAATTCCACCAACCCTGGTACTTACAACCTTCAAAAGAAAAAAGAATATGTGATCCACCATAATCATACCTCAAGAAAACAAACAAACCAAGTTGTAAAACATTATGGAATTTATCACATTATGTTTTAAGATACAACTGTAGAAATCCCAACAACATAAACCCTCAAATCCCACAAAGCTCTTTACCTGTAAACCACAACTGGCTGCTTCCACGATCGCCATGCAGAATGCTTCAGTAAGGGAGGTATTCAGAAAGATATGTCCTTGAACTAAGACATTTCTAACACCCTTGTGTTCTAAAGCTCCCAAAAGACGCACCCTGAGTTTTTTAAATGAGAGGGGAAGAAAAAAGTAAAAAATTATGCTATGAAAGAAATTTAACTTCTATATAAGCCAAAGTGACTGTATTATACTTAGGTTCTTATTGATGCTATTGTTTTCTGCCTCAAAAGATTAGTATCATCAAACACTTATCTCAAAGAAAAGCCTTATAAAGCTGTTGGGTTAAAATGCATACAACTAACATTTCTTATTTTTGTTGCATGTATCAAATTCCATATTCTCCAAAACTAGTTTGCATGTAGTGAAAATATTACTATGCTTGGACAATTAAATGTTCAAGTGTCACTTCTAAACAGGGAAATGACCCTTTTACAATTGATGCTTTTCATGTATACATCCCACAAAATATCTAAGTTACAGAGGAAGAGATCTGTCCAAATCTATACATGCAGAGCATTTTACATTATTTCAACCATGCTATTTAAGTCATAACACAGCATGGCTTGGAAATCTGCAAACATTTCCAATCCAAGTAGTAGCTTTTTGGTGCCTTTCATAAAGTCTCCAGCAACTGCTCCCCCAAAGTCAAATAACATTGAGCTAATGAGAAAAGCAAAACTGAATTCCTTAACTAGGTCTTTCTATTTTATATGAATTGTTAAAAAACAGAGCTTGTGTTACATCTTTATATCATTACATGAAAGAGAAGCAATACACCTGAGGCAGGTGTGGATACCACACCGAGAATAGCTAAGGAAGTTTCTTGCTTCAGGCAACACGAAGTCACTGTACCTGTCATGGAGCTGATATCTTTCCCGTACTTCTTCTAGAATGATTCTCTTTGGTCCTTCTCCTCCAATTATGAAATTTAAATCTGGGTATTTCTGACAGAGTTCAGGTATTATACCACTTAGCAAATCGGTCCCTGGAAATGTAAAATAAAGTTAAACGTTGGAGATAATACTTAAATTTTGTTTTGAAAAAAGAACTCTTTAGAACTACTGGGAATCCACTCACTTTGAAAGGTAATGGCTATGTTCTCTAAAGTAGAGAAACTGACCCACTTAAACCTTCCCCAAGAGAGTGAGATCATTCATAAACTGCCAGTGCCTCTCACCCTCAATTTGCAATTCTTGAAGACATAGACCTTGACACTCATTGTTACCTTCCATGTACCCTAAACATTGACTATTGTTTCATTTCATCACACTGTTCACAAGTTACTCACTTGTGCTTACACATTGCCTACTTCAAAAAAAGGTATTTATGGTAGCTATAGTTTGAATTAGTCTCTCTAGATCAGAACAGTTGACAAGAGATCTATGTCTTGCCCCAGCTTTTTTTACGAGCAAGCATTTGATCATGGGAACATTTCTTGATCTATGAAATGAAGAAACCTATGTACCTAATGTTCAAGGTCATTTTCAGCTTTAAAATTCTATCAGTCCATGATTCTATTTCCTGCTCTAAGGGCTGAGCACCAAAGCTTAACTGCTATCTCCACTTTGTTCAAAATGCAGTTTGTACAGAGAGCTTTGCATGAACACCACGGTACTAGCAATATTTAAAAGAACAGTCCATTCAAACCAGCTATAGCCCATTCCCTGGAATGGGAAGAAGTGACAGTGGCAGGATCTCAACTGTCAGATCACTGGAGTCAATGGCACAAAAAGATGGATTTTAATTCCTTTTATAAAACAAAATAAGATGATTCTCTTATAATAGCATGTAAATACAACTTCAGATAATATAAAGCGATAAAATAAATCATGCCCTATTACTGTGAAAAAGTTAGTGGCTATCCAAAATGATAACAATGTTGCCACTATTTGGGAATTTAGTTCATTAACAAATACAAATTATATAGATTCAAAAGTAAAAGTAAACCTTAAATTATTCACTTTGAGCTAAGTTTATTGATTTAAAAAATGCATACAAACCCACACAAACATGTGCACATGTGTGCACACACACAGAGAATTGCATTTCTTACATTGATCTTCCCAATAATGGGAAGATTTAATTATAAAATAGATGGTTGGAGAAGTAACCATGCCATTTTTATTTAATTATGCAAAGTAGGAGTCATTAAATAAAACTCTGCTGGTACCTCCAAAATATGACCGAATATAACAAAAACAAACTTACATGCAGTTTTTCTGAATTGGGAAGGCTTCTCATAAAACCTTAGCTATCTGTGTTTTGAGTCTGTTACCAAATCCATCCACTTGGATCTGTTACCAAATCCATCCATTCATTCCTAGATGAACCTAAAAGGGCCTTAATGACAGTTCTTAACATTTAGGTTCCTTCAATTTCTTCCTTTCATTTTCTTTCTTTTCCTCTCTTTTTCCCTTTCTAACAATGGTTAAGAGCCAATTCTTCAAAGAAACAAAAAACAACACAAAGCAGTAATTATAGTTGCTGATAATAGCTACCATTTACTAAATATTTAATTCCAGGCAATATGCTTCAGATGTAGTATGTCATTGAGGCCTGACAACTACCTTATATGAAATGGAACTCATTAATGTCACCAGTGATATATATTATTCTAAAAATAAAGGGTCCTCCTCCCAAACTATTAAAAAAAGTGACTCTGGTACCTCTAAGAAGAGTTTAATGCAATGAAACACAGATACTCAATTGCCATATTCACCAAAAAAAAATAGACAAGGAAAATTCTTGATTCAAACTGCTTTTAAAGCTGAGTCTAGGAGCAGTAGGTAGTGTGGTGGTTAAGGCGCTGGATCTCACATGGCCAACTGAGGGGTTCAAGTCTCTGATCCATGGCTTGAAAAACATGCCGGGTGTACGTGCATACATGCCCAAAACCCTAAGAAGAAAATGAAGAAGGGATTTCGGCATGTGGCTATCCCCTGTTGGGGATGATTTCTCACTGCCCGCTATCCCGTCTGTCTCTGGCAAGTGCACAAGCCCTATAGGAAAAATTAAAACACACACACAAAAAACAAAAAAACCCTGTATGACAATGTTTTAATTTGATCTTCTGATCTACACATAGGATAAAAGTGGCTGGGCTATGGGTAAGGAACAGGAGACCTTAACTTAAGCGCCAGACTCATGTTTGCCATCTGATACCTACTGTGTAACCTGGGTGAGCTACTTACCCTCTCAGAGACTCAGTTTCTTTGTCTGTTACATGCAGATAATATCTACACTACAGTTGTTGAGAGGGTCAAGTGAGGTACTGTACCATGCACAGGCTTTATCAATTACAGAATACAAATGTAAATTTTCATTACCATTAAAGCAAAAAGAAGGGCATGCCTGCATACCACAGAGCACTGGGAACCCTGACTGAGCACAGCACTCAGGAGAGGGGGCTCAGGATGAAGTCAACAGGAGACTTGGGCAACGAGAATTCTGATGTTTCCTGTCTGTGTTAATACATTCCAGTGGGCCTTTGATATCTGAGCCAATGAATACCTCCTGAGGAAATTAATTTATTAATAAGGAATGAACCACTAATACAACTACTCACTTCAGGACTATAGATGTGGCTGTTCCTTCACAGAACGTTACTTTGTGTGCACAGTGCCTGGCGTAAGGCAGGGTTCAATAGATATGGGTGGACCTAGTAAACTGAAAACAGAAAAAGCCATGCTTTCATTGTTAGTGGTTAGCATGGCTGGTTAAAATAGCACATTAGTGAAGTAAAGGTCATGAGTTTAATCTCTGTGTAAGGACAGGCACTCCTCACTTAACAACCAAGTTCATATGACTAGGTCATTAAGTGAATTGGTCTAAGCACGGAGCTTAAAGGCGGATGTCTTATGGCATGTCATGGCACCATAGAATATGTATTTTTCAATAAATATGATGTGACATCATTCTAGAAAAATGTAATTCTTTCCTCACAGTAAGCAAACATTAGATAAGTGCCAGAAAGTGGCAAGACATACCATAATATAAATCAGGCATAATCATTTTTATTGATTCTGAATACTAAAATGGGTACATAATAAAGTACAAGTTTATAACAAAATACGTAGTTTTGCATGTTTGCAAATGCTTCATGTAGTAAAAGCTAACTGACTGTGGGAACAAGACTGAGAAAGGGGATTCTCGAGACTCACACAGACTGAGAGAGATGAGTCCCCATGGTAGAGAACTGGTCATGAGTCAGTGGTCATTAAACAGGTAGGTTGTTAAGTGAGGAGTGGCTGTAGTTGACTTTGCTGATCCTCGATCTCACATGCATCAAACTCTCTCTTAGCTAGCTATCTCACAAAGGTATATACTATTTGATTAAAAACTAAATTGGGCACATTTTCTAAGTTACAAGAACAAATGTATCACTTATATCCCAAAAGAGATTTGGAATACAGAATACCGATCCATTTACATATTCTTGATTAAAGGATGAAAGCACACTATTGCCTAAAGCCCTGAAAATGCAGCTCAGTAAAAGTTTTATCACCAACGTCCACTTAAATGGGCTGCTGGGACAACCAAGGCTCTCCATTCCAAATATAAATGATACCAACCAAGGCACATATCTATACTTTAGGCCACTCCCTAGCATACTGGCACAGTGCTAAGCTTTATGCTTGCCAAGAATCATTTACATTTGTTCACATATTTATTTGATGCCAGTTACACTTCTCAGTGCACTGGTAGTTTAAATACCACATAAACTTACAAAATGAGTTCCTACAAAAATTGGCTGGTTTGAAAAATACAATAAAGTCATAGAAAAAAAGTTGTCAGATGAGGTGTCCCAAATCTCTGTATAAAATTGAAGACAAGTTAAAAATCCAGAAGCACATTGCTTCATATTCCTTCAGGTTCCTGCCACACTTAAACCTGTAAGAGGCAATGGTAGATTATGCTTTATGAAGGTCACTGTACAAGATGATGCAACTGAAACGAGTGGACCAGTACTCAAGTCCTATAGCCCTACATCCAAGTACTAGCAATTCAGCGTGTATGAATGATATTTTGGGTAAAATTCAAATAAAAAGGGTATGTATTTTTTTATAATGATCCCCTACTTTAAGTGACATTTTGACTACTAAACAGGTTTTCAAACAGCATCCAGCAAACTATATTTTTAATAATCAGACTATTTCAGATTCTTGGTAAACAAGTGTCAACAAATTCTATTGTAGTCTCCATTAATTGCTGCAAAGGCACCTGAAACACCTTTTGGGACTAGCAGACACTTATCAAGTACAAGCTGGGCTAAGTACTTTACAGACACTATTACTGAATTCTCAAGAGTTTTCCATCGTTGCTGAAATTACACCAATGAAAAAACTGACTTAGGGACATTAAGTAACTTGTCCTCTATCACACAACAGAACAGAGCAAGGATCTGACCCCAAGCCATCTAATCCCTTTTGCTTTACCACTTACCTGTCCATATGTCATGAGTGTCATACACATGATTAGATGAAACAAGCTACAAAGCAGCATTGTATAGAACAAGATTCTCAGTATATGTATGCATATATATAAAAAAACAGGAAATCTATAAATCACAGTATTCACTAGGGTCACCTCTGAATAATACAATTACAGCTAGTTTTAAGGTTTTTTTCCCGTGTTTTTCTTAGTTTTCAAAGTATCTATGATGACTAAACATTACTTTTGCAATCAGAAAGAAAAGGCCATGTGTTAGGTTTTGTCCTTCTTACCACATGTGCAGGGTCGTTTCAATTTTTAAAAAGATCTGATCGATTAAACTGCACCAAGTTGCTGCTTTTTTTTTTTTTTTTTTGAACTTTTAAAATATAAAAGGTTGGGG